GTAACCTGTAAAAAAAAAAAAAAAAAAAGGTCAAACTGCAGCCATCATTTTACTGAGCATGAGATTTTCTTGGACTGTTTTCTTTGAACATAGCAACCAACCTTCTGCAGTAAACAAATTTCATTTTTGTCATGCACAGAGGCAAATGCCAATATTGCCTTAGACTAGCACCTACTTCTGACAAGGACAGGTTAATTCCAGAAATAAAGAATATTTTAGGAAAGAGTAAGCCTAAATTGAGTGAGTCCCCCAAAACTACAGTAGGTTAAAGGCAGTATAGAGAGTCAGGTCACAGAAGTAAGACTGAACAGCCATGCTACAGTAAGGCAAAGCCACCGGGCTGCTAAACCAGGCCTTCATGCCATTAACAGGCTCAAAACCCAAGTGGTTTCCAAGGTTGTGATGCAAGAAGCCGAGTACCAACAACAGCTGGTAACTTATTTATTGCATGTTGGTTCCTGCTTACTATTCTGGGATCTTATTTTTGTCATGTGCAATATAAGAACAAGTATACTCTTCTTCACAGAGGAGTCTTATCAAATATACTGACACACGGGATATTTTAAAAATATATTTTGAGACAGTTGGATCATTTGAATATGGTCTATACATTTTTAAAAAATAATTATTTAATTTTATTTATTCATTTGTCTATTTTTAATTTGACCAGAGAGAGAGAGAGAGAGAGCAAGCAAGCTACCAGGTCCGGAGACTCAAACTGCGGTCAGCCATGAGGGAGTGTCTAGCGCCTTAACCACCACACCACCTGCTGGTCCCAAATATGATCTATATATCAAATGATATTATTGAGTAATGCTAATTTTCTGAATTATGATAGTGTTGTAGTTATACAGGAGACTGTCCTTGTTTGCGTGATATACACTTACATTTCTATGGATACAGTATCATAATATCTGCAACTTACTTTCATATGAATTCATCGAAAAGATACATACAAGAATACACATACAGGTGCAGTAATACAAACTGAGGGGCCAGCAGGTGGTGCTGTGGTTACATCACTGAACTCATACATGGCCGACTACGGTTCAAGTCCCAGACCATGGCTTGAAAATCATGCTAGGCATGTATGCATGTGTGCCCGAGATCCCAGGAGGAGATTGGAGGAGAAGGGATTGGCATGTGGCCATCTCCCCAGAGGATGATTTCTCACTTTCCCCCTCTGTGTCTCTTCCTCTCTCCCGAGTGAGCACATGTGCGCTAAGGCAAAAACCTCTAAACAAAACAAAACAAAACACTAAGAAGGAGCTTGACTAATGCCCCAATTCCATGAAAATCTGAGCAACTGGTATCATCAAATACTTTTGGTAGCAAAGACACAGGGGAGGGATGGCTAAAATGAGAAGGGTTGGCAGAAGTTCTGTGTAATTCCTATCTTCTCAAGTCCACGCAGTCAGACTCCTGCACTCAGGAGAAGATGAGTGGTTTATTCTCCACAGAGGGCAAAATAGAGTCTCTGACTGGGGTCACTAGGGTAAGTTCCCCTATTTCTGGGAGTCAAGGTACTTACTCTAAATTGAATATTTATGGGGACCAGCAGTTAACATAAGGGCTGTGTCACTGGACTCCCATGTAGTCGACATGGTTCGCGTCCCGAACCCAGTGGCTTAAAACTCATGCCCACCAGGCATGTGTGCATGCATGCCCAAGATCCCGAGAGGAGAATGGAGGAGAAGGAATTGCCGTGTGGCCCCCCTTGGGGGTGATTTCTCGCTTATCTGTCTTTCTCTGTCTGTTTGGCGAGTGCATGCGCCCTGTAGCAAAAACCTCTCCCCCCCCCAAAAAAAATGGAATATTTATGTATCAATTGAATATTTACACACTGATGCTAGGCACTCTTGCCTTCTTTCCCCACCTGCCTCCTGGAGGCTAGCAACCATCCTTTATCCTCTAGGACCAAGCCTGGAAGACACTTCTAGAGGGAATATGACTCGTCTATGAGAGTGCCCTAAAGATATTGCCACTGTGGGTGTCACCAACAACACAGCCCAGCCCAGTCCACACTCGAGAGCAGCCAAAAAAGCAGCATGAGGGATCAGAAGAGAGCCTCTAGTTTGAAAAACAGACAAAATAAACATAAAAATGCAACAGAGACTAACTATAAAGGGAAAGCTTAGTTAAAAAGTTAAGAACTCTCACAATTATATTTGGATAAGATGCCACAACCATGAAATAAAAACAGAAAAAAATAACTAAGAGCTTCTGGAAATTAAAAATGTAATAGCAGAAATAAAAGACACTCAATAAAGAGATCAGAAGATAAAGTGTCTTCCCAAAAAAGATGCAAAACAGATAAAATAAAAAGTACAGATCCAAGAGATACTATATCTGGATAATAAGTTCTAAAAAGAGCAGATAGGACAAAATCATGGGAACAACTATTAAAATGATTCAAGGACATTTCCCAGAGCGGAAGAGCACAAGAATCCACACTGAAAGGGCCTTTCAAATGCCCGGCATGATGGGTGACACTGCACTCACGTGGAGGCCCATTAGCTTGAAGTTTCAAAACATGGAGAACAATAAGAAAAACCCTACAAACTTTGTAAGAGGAAAAAACAGGAATCAAGGATTTAAATAATTTACTTCTCACACGTCCTTTCTCCCAAAACCATGGGGGGAACCAGCAGTTAGCGTAATGGTTATGTCGCTGGATTCCCACATAGTCGACCGCAGTTCGCGTCCCGGACCCGGTGGCTTAAAACTCACGCCAGGCGCGTGTGCGTGCGTGCCCAAGATCCCGAGAGGAGAATGGAGGAGAAGGGATTGTGGAGTGACCATCCCCCCTGGGGGGTGATTTCTCGCTTTCTGTCTCCCTGTCTCTCTCTGTCTGTCTGGCGAGCGCACGCACCCTGTAGTGAAAAACCTCTCGCCAAAAAAAAGAAACCATGGGAAGGAATGCTCCACCAACTCCTTAGTAAATCAAGAAAGAGAAGGACCTGAGATGCAGAAAACAGGAAGAGCCCGGCATGAAAGGAAGGAGCTGCCTCCTTGAGATGATGATGAAGGATGCTGGAGGAGAGCTGTGGAGAGTTCTCCAAGGAGTTCAACCAGTAGAATTTCTTATGAGCCTGAACATGAAAAGGAGAGTTCAACCACTGGGGAAGAGTTTGGGTTGAAATAGTAATAATACGAAACTTAAAAAGCAAGGCAATTGTTAACACTAGGGAAAACGAAAAGTGGAGCAGGGAAGGAGAAGTAATTATTATTACTCATCATTAATTTAAGGCCCAGCTATGAACAAGATTTACATAATAATGGTCAGAAAAAAAAAAACAACACAGATCTACCCTAAGTTATGTTCTGCTTATAATGGGAATAGAAAGCATAAGCTTGTAAAAGGAGATGAAAGAGCGGATAAGAGCTAAGTGTGTCTTCCTCAGTGGAAAGCCATTAGTAATTCCTCAACCTCAAGACAATGTTGTATTTAGATATCGAGATGTAAGTGCCAAAAGAATGTGTCAAGGAGTTTAAAATGAAAGCCACTGGGGAAAGAACAAGAAAGAATAAGGGGATGGAGTCAGCTAGGCTTTTGTTTTTGTTACAAATCTTTTGACTCTTATGTGTATATGTAGTATATATAATTTTAGAATAAATTACATACATAATTTTATATGTAACTATAAAAAATAAAATATGTATAACTATTTAAAAAGACAAAAAATATTGTGAAACATTCTGTTTATCAAGTTACTACAGATTAAGCATCCCTAATCTGAAAATCCAGATTAGAATTTTTTTTTCTAAAGCCCAAATCCTTCACAATCTGACAGCACTGACATGGCTCCACAAGGCTAGCATAAGAGGTGCCACAAGTAGAAAATTCTACACCTGACCTCACGTGATAGATGAAAGACATGACATTGCAATATGAAAATATTGTAGAAAATCGCCTTCAGGATCTGTGTACAAAGTATATAGAAACATAAATGATTTTTTAAAATAATGATTTATTTAATTACTTATTATTATTGAAGAATTATTTTTTTATTCATTGCTATTATTTTATTTTTAAATTTTTTTGAAATTGACCAGAAGGAGAGAGAGAGAAGGAAAGTGAGAAAATGAGCTGCCAGGTTCGGGACTCAAACCACGGTCAGTCATGTGGGTGTCCAGCCACCTTAACCACCACACCCCCTGCCAGCCCCTATTATTATTTTTTTTTCACATGAGTTTTGCCAGAGAAAGACATACACATACAAAAAAAGAAAAAGAGAGAGAGAGAGAGAGAGAGAGAAGGAGAGTAAAAAAGCAAGCTGCCAGGTCTGGATCTTGAACCATGGTTAGTCATGTGGGAAGTCCAGTGCCTTAACCACCATGCCACCTGCCAGCTCAAAATATAAATGATTTTTATGTTTAGTTTCTACCCCATTGCCAAGATATCTTCTATGTACATGCAAATATTCTAAAATTTGTTTGAAAATTGAAATCTGAAACACTTCTGGTTCTAAGAATTTTAGATGGTGAATACTTGATCTTTACATATTTTAAAAATTCTTCTTTATTATCAATCTATAGGTAAATACAGAGGTATATCAGATTTTTTTCTTTTTTTTAAGATAGAGATTTTTGGCTATAGGGCGCCTGTACTTGCCAATGAGTCAGAGAAACAGAAAGATAGAAAGCGAGAAATCACCCCCCATAGAAGATGGCCACACTGCAATCCCTTCTCCTCTGTTCTCCTCTCAGGATTTAGGGCATACACACACATGCACCTAGCATGAGTTTTAAGCCACTGGGTGCGAGACTCAAACCGCAGTTAACTACGTGGGAGTCTAGTGACGTAACCATTACTCCCTCTGCTGGGCCCAGTAGATATGAACTTGGCACTTGAAAACATTAAAAAATCTGCTCTCATATTAAATTTTTAGTACGTTTAGGGTTATGTGATAATTTTCTCAGCATATGTAAGTGCTGATTCCAAGCATTTTTTTTACCAACTTCGTTTCACAACACTGGTGGTAAAAGAAAGTACTCACCAGCTCTAGCGGGCTGAGACGTGTGCCAGAGATAGGCCTGGAATCAGATGACTCAAAACTGGACGCATGAAGGCTAGCATAAGAGATGGTGAAGAACGTTAGTTGGTGAAGACTTTATTTCTGGCATAGACTAGTTAACTCTAGCTGGTAAGCGAGCAGTAACATCCAAGTCATAATCCGTGAAGAAAGAGCAACTCAAAACCGTTCCAGCATTTGGCGCAGTGTGCTAGCACGCGCTGGTTCACACTACTGCCTGGCAGGCTGAAGTAGGAGGACCATGGCATAGTGAAACCCTGTCTAAAAGAGAGCTCAATCATTTCATTAAAACATTTCATTAACAAGTCTTTCTACTACTTTTAGAAAGATTAAAAAGATTGAATAATGGGAACCAGCAGTTAGCGTAATAGCTATGTCGCTGGACTCCCACATAGTCGACCGCGGTTCGTGTCCCGGACCCGGTGGCTTAAAACTCACGCCGGGCGCGTGTGCGTGCGTGCCCAAGATCCCGAGAGGAGAATGGAGGAGAAGGGATTGTGGCGTGACCATCTCCCCTGGGGAATGATTTCTCGCTTTCTGTCTCTATGTCTCTCTCTGTCTGTCTGGCGAGCGCACGTGCCCTATAGCGAAAACCTCTCAAAAAAAAAAAAAAAGATTGAATAATGAAAATAACCACATACAGTGACTTTAAAAAAAAGTTTTGTTCCTGTTACTTTATAAAGTTGGTAAGGCAGTTACTACTCTAACCATTTCATTCTAGTCTAACTTCCTGGATTCAAGGTCTGGAATTATCATTAAGAATCTTGTGGAACTGGCAGGTGGCATGGTGGTTAAGGGCACTGGACTCCCACATGAGAAACCACAGTTTGAGTCCCAGACCTGGCAACTTACTTACTTTCTCTCTCACTCACACTTTCTCACTTTCACTCTGTCCCTCTCTGATCAAATTAAAATAAATAAATAAAGTTAAATAAAATAATTCTTACCAAAAAAAAAAAAAAAGAATGTTGAACAAAAGTCAAACTTTAAAAAACAAGTATTAGGGGTCACCTGGTGGCATGGTGATTAGGGCACCACGTGGCTAACTGAAAGTCCTGGACCTGGAGGCTTGCTTTCTCACTTTCCCTTTCTCTCTCTTGTCTCTCTCTCTGACAATCACATGTGTCCTATAGCAAATTTTAAAATAATAATAAATAAAATGAAATAAATAGTTCTTAAAAAAAGTATCTTGAGATCAGTTAATGTAATTTATAACACAAACAGGTGAAAGAAGAAAAAAAATCACATGACTGTATCAAGAGATAGAGAAAAGGTATTTGATAAAATTTAATGCTAATCCATGATATATTAAAAAAAAAAAAAAGCTTCAGTAAGCCAGACATAGATACTCTTCGACTTCATAAAAAATAACTGCAAAAAACCTACTGTTAACAGGTCCTCAGAGAAAGCATGATGCATGTTTGCATAGAAAAATATGTCATCCCTTTTCCAACAATCCAATAGTTTATGGTGAGAAATCTTAGGCTGTTCCACCAAGGTGGGAAATAAGGATTTCCCTTTCACCATTGTTTTTCAATATCATACTAGAAATTCTAGCTAATGCAATAAGAGAAAAGAAAAGCAAAAAACAGATTGGAAAGAAAGCAATCCAACTGTCTTTATTTGCAGTGATATGATCATCCATGTAAACAGTCCTAAAGAAAGGTCCAATTAGCAATTATAGCAGGGCTGCAGGATGTAAAGTTAATACGAGAATCCAGAAACCCCCTAGAACGAATTAGCAGTGACAGCAGGGCTGCAGGATATAAGGTTAATATTGAAATCCAGTTGCTTTCCTGAATACCAGCAATGAGCAAAAGGAAAGTGAAATGAAAACACAATACCATTTACAGTAATACCCCCCAAAACAATACTTAGGTATTAACCTAACAAATTATTGTGTTGTCAGAAAAGTCAAGACATATTTTTCTGTTTTTCTATGCAAATATGCATCATGCCTTTCCTGAAAACCTAATATATACAAGATATATATGAAGAAAACTACAAAACTCAATGAAAGAACTAAATTAATGGAAAAGTATTCAACTGTTATGGATTATGAAGATTTAATATTGTCAAGATGTCCGTTTTTCTCACCTTGACCTATAGATTCAATGCAATTCCAATTAAAATTCTAGCAAGTAATTTTGTGGATATCAACAAACTGATTCTCAAGTTTACATGGAAGAGCAAAAGACTCACAATAGCCATCACAATATCAAGGAGAACAAAGCTGGAAGACTGACTCTATTTTAAGACTTACTGTAAAGCTACAGTAATCAAGATAGTGTGATATTGGCAAAAGAACAGGTAAACAGATCAATGGAACAGAATAGAGAGCCCAGAAATATACCACGTAAGTTAACCGATCTTTGACAAAAGAGCAAAGGCAATAAATAAGACAATACTATTAAGTGCTAAAAAGAAATAAACTATCAGCCAGGAAAAATCGTGGAGAAAAATTAAATGCATATTATTAAGGGAGAGAATGTGTTTGCAAAGGCAATGTGCTGTGTGCTTCCAACTGTGACATTTTGGAAAGGCAGAACTGCAGAGATAGCAAGAAGATCAGACTGCGGAAAGGAGGAAAAATGGGCAGAGCACAGGATTTTTAGCAGGGAAACTACTCTGTATGATGCTGAAATAGTGGATACGGGTCATTATATATTTGTCCAAACACGGAATGTCCAACATCAAGAGTGAATCCTAATATCACCTACGAGGTTTGGGTGAGGATGTGTCAGTACAGGGTCATCGGAGGTAACAAACACACCACTCTGGGGCAGGGGGTTGATGATGGAGGGGCTGTGTGTGTGCAAGGGCAGGGTTTGTAGGAAAATCTCTGAACCGTCCTCAATTTTGCTGTGACTCTAAAACTGTGCAAAAAAAAATTAAGCCTATGTAAGAAACCAACTATTCCTAACTAGAAATTACTAGAATATCTGAGTGTACATGAAAGTGAAGAGTCATATACCTGAAAGAGGAGGGAGGTCTATTTTCTGGTGTTCTTGAAGATGCAGGTCCAAACAATTTTCTTTGGTCTTCCTGCGGGGTGAAAGGCCTTTGGGTTCGAACTGTCCTTAACGCATTTCGTGCTTCGTTGATGATTTCCACGCTGGTCTTCTGCTTGGATATGGAGGGTCGATAAAATGGATCCAGTTTTTCTAACTTTTTATCATTTGGAGACAACATCTTTCCTTCTAAAGTAAAACGTTCCTCAGGTAGTCACCACACCCTACAATTACATAATACCAAAAAAAAAGAAGAAGAAAAATCAACAATTTTTATCCAGTACTTTAGAAAGAAGTGCTTATACCCATGAATATATTAAGCCATTCCTCTTTGTTAAACTTGAAAAAAAAAAAAGTAAATGATGTTTAATTAAGAATTCACAAAACAGGGCTGGCCAGGTGGCACAGGCAACAATTCAGTGCTCAAGTGATACTGGATCAATATGACAGGTTGTGGGTTCAGTTCCCCTGTCCACCTGTATGTGCCCATGATCATTTATTATTATTATTATTATTATTATTTTTATTTTTATTATTATTATTTTAAGAGAGTTTTTTGCTATAGGGTGCATGTGCTCACTAGAAAGACAGAGAGACAGAAAGAGAGAAATTGCCCCCCAGGGGGATGGCCACTCCTCAATCCCTTCTCATTCATTCTCCTCTCAGGATCTTGGGCAGGCACACACACGTGCCCAGCATAAGTTTAAGCCACCGGGTCTGGGACTCAAACTCAGTCAACTACGTGGGAGTCCAGCAACATAACTATTATGCCATCTGCTGGGCCCCCCATGATCTTGACTGGTTGGGAAGGCTGGCGGGGGGGGGGAATCATGCGTGAGACACTGTTGGAGGTGCTCGTCTCTTCCTCTCACATGAAAAAAAATTAACTTTAAGAATAATTTTTTAAAGAAAAAAAGACTAGCAAAAAAACTAAAGAAAAAATTTTAAAATTCACCAAGCAGTAACAAGATAAGAATAGAAAAACAGTTCTCAAAAATATAGGTTGCACAGTTGTTTTTATACACAACTGAGGGAAAAGATATGCAGGAAAGAAATCCAGGACAAAAGCTAAACCTGAAGAGGAAGAAGATAAATATAACTCATAAAAGAAGACAGAAGAGGAAGAGAGAATCGTCTGAAACTCCTCAACCCACAAAAAAAAAAGCACTGCAGGTTCTGCTAAAAATTTTTAACAGAAGTTTTCTTTCCTTCTCCACTGCCCTCCACACAAAACATGAGTACAAGGTTAAATTTTAGACAGATGGGGCCTAGTTCCAAACATTTGCTTTTACAACAAACCCCCAAAATTGGTTCAATCCCATGTTTCTACATGATCTGAGTGAACTGATTCAAATCACCTTCAAATTGAGATAATGTTTTAGATGAGTAAATATCACATATCAATACTGAATGATCCTTTCCCCACCTTCCTTCCTCGAATGCAGACACTTCTCACATATTGATGTGCCCCAGGGAGATTTTAAAAACTTTATTCTAATTAGTATATGGTACTAAGTATTCATTTCTTTAAAAATCAAAATGAAACAAAACAAAAAAAATCCTTTAACCCCACAATCTCATATCTCTAGAGAGGCAGAAGTTTATAAATTAGTCACATATTTTTGTTGTCCAATTTTAGAACAATTTCCATAAAAAAGGAAGTTGTTTTGTAACATTATGGCCAAGGAAACCAAAAAGACTCTATTTCTGTGAATAGAATCAATAGGTGATTGCACAGACATGTAAAAACTTACTATATTTCACTATATTATGATTCTATACATTGAGTTGCTACATAACAACAGACCGTAAGAACATTTGTTTAGTTCTATCCAGATCCCCCCACCCTAGGAATTTCTGGGGGAAAATAAGATAAAAACTACAAACAATACATCAATCTTTTCATATGGAGATGCCAGGTGTTGCGTTAAAACAGTAAAAAGTTGCTAAGTAAGTGATTGATAAGGATTTTAAATTTAGGCAAGATCTCTAAAATTATGTACAGTAATACAACTACCAAAAATGTCTTCATTCTGGGGCTGGCAAGTGGCATGGTGGTTAAAGGCGCTAGACGTCCACAAGGCCGACCACAGTTCAAGTCTCGGACCTGGTGGCTTGCTTTCTCACTTCCTCTCTCTCTGTCTCTCTCTGACCAAACTGGAAAATAATAATGATAATAAAAATAAATAAAGTTAAATAAAATAATTCTTTTTTTAAAAAAATCTTCATTCTAATACTTCTGATATAATTGGCTCTTTATTTAAAAAAAAAACTCAAGGCCAGCAGATGGAGTAGTGGTCATGTAGCTGGATTCCCATATGTCCAAACACAGTTCAAGACCCAGACTGAGTAGCTTGAAAATCACTCCAGGCATGTGTGCATGCATGCCCAAGATCCCAGGAGGAGAATGGATTGTGGTGTGGCCATCCCCCCAGAAGCGATTTCTCACTTTCCCTTTCACTGTCTCTATGTCCCCCCCCACCACCCAG